CCCAGGAGAAATAAACATCTTCCTGTCAAACCACTGAGATCTGTGCAATAGGGAGAGGGGTTGCTTTCTTTTGGGCCCCAAGAATTAAAAAAAAAATAGGGAGGGGTGACTGGCTTATTGGAGGGAAATGGTGTAACTTGTAAATGGTGTTTTCAGGAAGTTTCTGAGATGATCAACAGGAATTGAGCATTGATTTTGCTTTTTCCATGATTGTAGAGATAAAGGCAGAACAGATCTGACTGGAAAATTAAGACAAATTAAATGGAAATGGTTGAGCTGGGAACAGTTGGATTTGTTTTGTCTTGCTTTTGCTTTGGGTGACATACAGACACAAAGAGGCACAGCTCCTAGTGTGAAGAGAGATGGAATATATACCTGTATAGTGCGCTGTAGCCACCTGCTGAGGGGCAGGGTCACCTGCAGAATCACAGGACACCTACAGAGGAGACAGGATACCTGCTGAGGACACAGGACACCTACAGGGGACACAAAATGCCTCCAGAGGGGCAGAATCACCTACTGAGGGGCAGGGTCACATGCTGAGGGGCAGGGTCACATGCTGAGGGGCAGGGTCACATGCTGAGGAATATGTAAATCCTGCTCCAAATCTGAGATTGGAAGCCTCACGGTGAGGCCACCTTTTTTTATAGTATATTTGAGGTCTGTGGAAACACACTGCCTTAGAGGACAAAAAATCTCACTGTTTTCCCTAATGCTTCAGAAAATTTTTTTTAATATATTTTATTTATTTCTATTATTCCAATGTCGCTCAGTATGAGTATATACATGTGAGTGCAGTGCACATGGAGGCCTGAAGAGGGCATAAGACTCTGAAGCTGGGGTTCCAGGCAGTTATGAACTGCCCACCACTGTGGGTTTGGGAATCAGGATTCCAATTCTCTGCAAAAGCAGCAAGTTACATTGACATCTGTGTAGCCTGTTCTGTTTTGTTTTGTTTTTCCACCAGAAACTCTGCACCATTCAAGTCAATGACACAGAACCACTGAGATTTTTTTTTTTTTTTTTAACTTCCCATGCTACTTCATGAAAGCGCATTTGTCAAGAGGAAAGCAGGTTTGGACAGGACAATGCATTGGATCTTTTGAAGCCCTGCTTTCATCTAATTGAGTTCTCACCTTGGCCAGAGCCATCAGCAGTTTTTGGTGGATTGTGACGACATTTAATTCAAGTGACCTTTTCCGAAGGGCCCATGGAACTTTAATAACTGCTTGGAAATACTACCTCTTGCTGTGGAATGTCTTTCTGTATGCTGTGAATATGTGTTGCTCTGATTGGTTGATAAATAAAGCTGCATTGGCCTATGGCAAGGCAGCTTAGAGGCAGGCAGGAAATCCAAGCAGATATACAGAGAAAAGAAAGGAGAGGAGGGAGAGATACCAGCCGCCGCCAAAGGAACAACAAGATGCCAGCAGACTGGTAACATCATGGCCACACGGCAACATATAGATTAACAGGGTTGAGTTAAGTTATAAGAGCTACCTAGCAAGAAGCTGAAGCTATAGACCATACAGTTCATAAGCAATATAAACCTCTGTGTGTTTACTTGGGTCTGAGTAGAGTGGCTGCGGCACCGGGCAGGACACAGGAAAACTTCCAGCTACAGCCTTTATATTCCAAACTTATTTTCTTCCTCAATCCATGGACTTGTCTTCAGGACTAAACAACAAGCTTCCCAATGACAGTTACCTTCTTTACAGGAGATGACCAGAAAACTTGATACTGTCCTATTTATATGCACTAAAAATGCATTCATTTCATTCCAGTATCCTCATATGTATTCAATCTCAGTGCAAACAAAGACCACAAAAGGTTTTAAGCACAGCACCTTTGGTTATTTTTGCTTGTTACATTACAAAGTTCTACTTACACCAACCAATATTGTTGATATATAAATGCAATGAGGCATCCACTCTACATGCTTGTATAAATGTTATCATTTGTAAACACCTTTGTATTTATTGTGGCAACTTGGAGGTTGGAGAGGGAAAGTATAATTTTATCATTGGGAAAAGACATGGCTTAACTATGTTTCGGACCAGATCTTTGGCAGCAGGCTCCTACCTTCTGGTGTTTGCCTTCCAGTGTATGGCCCTCCCACTCCCTAGATGTGTTCAAATTCTCCCTTAAGGAAGACCTTCTGTGGCTACCTAAAAGAAGTCTCTCTGCGGGGAAGGAAGACAGGGGTGCTGTGCTCTCTCAGAATCCCCTCAGAAATAAAAAATGAACAAATAAATGGTTACCTGCTCTGCTTTTATCTGTGCTGCATGTTGGGAAACTGAATAAACTTTTGTTTAAACAAAGAAAACTTATGGGAGAAAGAAAAAAGAAAATAGAAGACCAAGTATTATACTACCTTAAAGTGCCTGGAAAGGAGCTGGGACCATAATTTAGTGGTAGAGCCCTTGAGGTGAGGGCATAAGAACCTGGGTTTAATCCCTAACTATACAAAGAAGAAGAAAAAAACCAAAGACAGCCTGGGAAAGGCCGGCATGGTGGTGTTGGCTCAGTTGGACTCTCTTTCTAGTCCTAGTAACTGTTCTAGCTGCTTTGAGAGTAAAAGGCCAATTAGAACAGAATAAAAAAAAAAAAAAAAAAAAAAAAAAAAAAACAGAACCAAAAAACTCACCCACATTATCCTTGCAAGTATTAAAAAACTGGCCAGTCATCTATTAACACCATTTTAGGTAAGTATTTTGTAATTATATTGGCACCTCCTGAAACCAAGTTATTAAGACCAGCGAAGCTACAGAGATACATGCCGAGCTGTGCACAATGCTGAATGGGGATGAGATTGTCCTCTGCCTTTTCCTGCTGTCAGGTAGCAGGTTGGCCACTCAGCATCCAGGCCAGTCTGTGTCCCTTTAGGAATTTATATTCTAAAACCACATGAAGGGTGTGCTTTGATTATTCCAACACAGTAAAACCAGTTGAAGATGAGATTTTAAGTTAGAACCATAGAGGAGGAAGGATTTGAGTCTAGGGTACCATCATGCCTCTTTCTCCATCCTCCCACCACACACTAAAGTAAATGAACCCTTCAGAGGACACTGGAGCCGAGCAGAGATGGGCCTGGCCTAAAAAGCTCTCCTCACTAGGTCCTAACACGGATGTCCTAAAAACAACTCTAGTTTCTGCAGAGGTCCCGCCTGACCCTGGTCACTCAACAAAGTCACCCCCCTTTTCTTGCCCAAGCAAATTTGAATTAGTTTCCTATTTACCTGAGGTAGAAACAAATCCACACTGATGCTCCAGGAGCTTAGAAGAGTGACCAGGGCAAAGGATTGAGAAACAAATGGCTCTGTATTTGAACCATGGCCATTGCAGCCACGTGAGCACAGGCATTATTTCATCGTTTCTGTTTCTACCATTAAGTGGCAATGTTAGTAAGACATCTGTCATAGAGCTATGATGATGACTAAGTGAAATATGTGCCTGAAAGTCCAGCTGTGCATTCTTTGCTCTTTTCTGTAGTCAGCAATATTAATTTCCAAGACTCCCAAGTGTTAGTCATTCACTCATGCACGTATGCTTGAACTCAGCACTTATTTGATCAGCCAAGTGCCAGCTATAGACCTAACATTGCATCTAGTATTGAGCAGGAAAATAAATACAAAGAAGAGTAGTGGAGGTAAAGAGACTGCTCAATGGGTAGAGCATTGGCTGCTCATCCAGAAAACCCAGGCTTGATTCCCAAGACCTACATGGCTGCTAAGAACTATCTGTAACTCCAGTTCCAATGTTTTCTTCTGACTTCTTCAGGCAATCCATGCATATGGTACACAGACGTACATGCAAGCAAAAACACACATGAAGAATAAAAACAAATAAATCTACAAAGAAAAAGGACATCAGGCCTCTGACCTCAGGAAGTGTGGTGCCCCTGAAAACACATGAACACTCATGGTGTCACAGATGGTTTTTGCGTAAGTACAAATCAATAAAATGTGAATGAGTAGCCAGAGTGGGGCACAGTGAATCACAGGAGATTTTTAGAAGAAGGAAAATTTGAGCCGATTAATAATAACTGTAGTTTTGCCAGAGAGGCACTTTTAAAGTGAAATGCCCTTCCTTATCTGTCAGACCTTCAGATTCTTTGTCCCTCGGAATGAAAAGCCCAGTGTCTTTCCTGGGCTGTTTGACACAGAGTCACCACAGTCCTGGGAGAGCCAGGTTTGTGGACTATGCAGGTCAAATTTATGTCCAAAGCCCATTACATTTTTGCGTTCTATTTCTGTTGAGTGCCTTACTTTCTAAACCACACACAGATTCCTCTGAGTTATGAATCAATAGTTGCTAAGGTTTTTAAAAGTTTTGTTTTTTGTCTCTTCACGGTTTCTTCCAACAACACTTGTGAATGCTCCTGGAATGCCTTCTGTCTAACTGGACTCACCGCACGTGAGGCTTGAACTAGTTTGTTAAGTGGTATTTATTGGCCAATTATAAAGCAAATTTTTAACTTCATGTGAGAAATGAATCTATTTGGAAAAAAAGGGAAGAAAAAACCTGTGAACATGACCTTTCAGTATTGTGCTACAGAAACCAATAGAACCGTGTCTGGTGTGTGAGCAATTAATAGTAGTCTATCCGTTCTCAGAATTGATCATAACTGTGGCTAATGAGCCTAGCAGAGAGACTACAGACACCAAAATCTCTGTCATAACTTTACCATCCCTCCTCCTCCATGTTCTTGGAGGCAGTGCCAAATGTTTATGGGAACATAACATGTAGGTATCTGAACTGGGGAGCTGAGTCACCAGATTTTAAGAGTTCCAGCCTTCATATGTTACTTCCTAAAGCGAGTGCTAGCTGTCACGTCCACTCTCCCCAGCCTAACCCCATTGTGTCCTAATAGTTGTCACCGATATGACCCCAAGGCACCGGAACATAACAATCTGAGTCATTCAGAAGGAGGGGGGAAAGGTGCCAATACAGAGCTGTGACCCAGAAACAAACTGCTCTGAGCACAGCAAACGCCCGAGTGCCCAGTGAGACTGCGTGCCTGAGCGGCCAGCGGTGACAAATGCTCCTCTCTTTGCCCTGCTTGTACCCACCTGAATCTTACAAGAATGGCTCCCGAATAACATCTGCTAACCAAAAGGAAGCACAGCTGTTCACTTTTGACCACAGGAGGAAAACCTGAGCACACAGCCGCCAAGTTGATAGGGTGGGTGTGGTGAAGAAACATGAGTATACATGCTTTGTTATGAAAATGTCAGAAGACACTTATCGATATAGGGAGATTTTCATCATTATTATTTAGAGTACTAGAGACTGAACTGTACAGAATTTGTCATTTCAAAGCCAGCTTTCCATTTCAGTGCGCGGGAGGCCGCATGCATGAGGTACTCTCTCTTCTAGAACAGTCTGGAAGATTCTTTCCAGGCCAAAGTCAGGGTGATCCTCTCCTAGCCATTTTCTTCAGTTTTACTCTAATAGCTACAAACATTGCCAATTGCAGAAGTTTCCAGAGCATAAAAGATACATGGACGCTAAATATTTATCTCTTTCTCTGGTGAGGCAAAGAGTATTTTGTTTGGTCTCTCGTTTTCAGATTGTTTGTAGCGTTCCTAACATATGCCCAGACTTGGCAGTATACTGGTGTCTCTCCATAATAAGATTCAGCAGCGAAGAAAGTGACTCGGAGCTGATGCTTCGTCACCTAATACACAAGGTCCTTTGTCAACCTCCGGAGCTAAACCCAACCCTCACAGGCACGTTCTTCTCGTGAGCACTTGTACAAGGCAGCACATGGCCGTCTCTCGTCATCTACCTTTTTGGCTATAGGCATTTGTAAAAGCTTTGGCTTTTCTTTGCTTCTGGTTTAACACACAGAACTGTTGAGGGGAGTGTGGGTCTTGGAACAAACGTTGGAACAAACTGGCGGTTTGTTCTCTGGTTCAATCATTTCAGTGATGGCCCTCAGTCCTTCTAGGAATTTTAAAGTATTATATGATTTTCTGCTTAAAAACACGTGAGATAGTTCTGTTTTCAACTCTCAACCTGGGACAGCAATCAATTGTCAAAACAATGAATCCTAGGGATGGTCTTACACTGCATTACAAATGAAATTATTTTTCTAAGGGATAAAAAAATACATGGAATTTGTTCTTCTGAATGCCTTAATTTTTCTAAATTTATACATTTTTAATGGAGTTTCCATTTATTCCTGTTTTCCTAATTATTGAAAAATGGTAAAGAAACATAAGTAGCACAGATAAGAATTTCTTGGCACAAAATGAAAATTTACTATTACCAAGACTACTTATTGTTCTTCACAACCTGACAATGAGTCCCTGTTGCTGAGGACACACTTTCTTATGCCATCAAACACGGAGAAGCTGAGCCTCTAGCTAAAAGCTTCACCCCTACTGACTAGTGTTCACGGTGCTGGAAGGTACTAGGCATGATACCAGAGGAGAAAATTTATCATCAATATCACTTAACTACAAACCCTGTGACCTACAACAGTGACCTTACTGCGAGATATACTGATGCAATCGTGGCACAGATGTTAAGAGAGTAACAGACCAGTTTTGACTGGGCTTAAGACTCACTGCGTGAAATGAAACTCACATAGCACACTGCCAAAGTGGCCGAGAACCTAAAACTGAATAGGTCATAGGCCCTAGTGCCAAAGGCCATTAAGAATAGACAGCAGATGACAACTGATATTCAACAAGTCGACCTACCAGATGAATAATTCTCTGGTAGGGAGCCCCCACATGAAAAAGACAGTGAGGGGGCCACTGACTCAGAATCTGTTTGTTTCTGTCTGTAATTTCTATCATGTGCCACTACATTTCTTCCTTAAAAATTGCTATGGGTGTTTTCCCATTGCCTGTGTGTTTATCTCATGTATATATTCCATCTATTGGGCACATTTATAGCTGTGGATGGTCAGGAAAACGATTTCTGCTTAATCTGTACAATTCTGATGAATAGAAATAATACTAGGGTATTTTCATAGCTGACATAGGAAAGTAAATAGTATTCTCTGTCACAAAGACAGCTAATTTTAGATTTCAGAACAGACTAGCTGCACCTGCAGAGAATACACAAGGACAAGTTCCCAAGTGTTTGTTGAACCAAAATCAGGCACAAAACAACTTTAATAGAAATAATTTTCTCAGCAATTGGCTTTCTTCACATACTCCTAGGCTCAAGAGTCAGCCAACTAACTATTTATTGCTTAGGTCCTGAATTGCAATGTCACTTTCTGTGATGTTTCTCAGCCTGCATTCTATCTATCTATCTATCTATCTATCTATCTATCTATCTATCTATCTATTTATTTATTGGTTTTTTTGAGACAAGGTTTCTCTGTGTAGCTTTGCACCTTTCCTGGAACTCACTCTGTAGCCCAGGCTGGCCTTGAACTCACAGAGATCCGCCTGCCTCTGCCTCCTGAGTACTGGGATTAAAGGCATGCGCAATAATTGCCCAGCCAGCCTACATTCTTAATAATCAAACTTACAGTCATGTTAGTTAGGTTTCTAGGCATACAGAATTATATTTCAGATAGATAGGTAATCTTCAAACACATAAAAGACCTACAGAATATAGCATTTAAAATGTTTTGAGAATTTAGGCCTTTGTGAACGGTGAGACACATCTGCTCCTGGGAGCAACAATTACTTCAATGGGCATCTAAGAAACTCATTATGAAGTTTACAATGTGGAAAAGCCTAGCCACTTGGGCAAAAAACTGCTCTTGCCTGGGCTGCTTGATAAACGGGACATGCAGGACCCATAGGAAGGTAACCACTGAACTTTGCCAAAACAAGGAAAGATGGTCCTTCAGGTTCTTGCTTCACAGAAGAAACTGTCATTCTGCAGGACACAGAGAAAAGTGACTAATGAACTTTGCCAATAGGCAGAACAGTGCTTCAGATTTCCTGCTTCACTGAAAAGTATGCCAGAGACTCTAGGTCTGTAGGCTGAAGATAGATGACCCAACATTATAGAGGATCTTTGGGTGACTGTCCAAGCAGCCAGATGTCTCTGTCATTTCTAGAATTTTGAAAGTTGCTTGAAATGCATTTCCTGTTTACTCAGATAATATCCTTCTGGAGTCTTTGATGAAGTTGAAGACTAGATAGTTATAATTATAGTTTTTCTTGGTTATAATAAAAGGTAAATTAGATATGAAATGTTAGACTCACAAAAATAGGATAGATGATAGAGTGTTTTCTTTATTTTTGCCAAATACAAATAGACTAAATATTGTAACTGTAATTCTTGCTTGATAACTGTTTTGTTATATGTAATTTTACTGCATTAAAGTTAAAATCAAACTACCCTTTTAATTAGACAAAAAGGGGAAATGCTCTTGTGCACTGTAAAGATTTGTCACTTAAGTTGGTTTAATAAAATGCTGATTGGCCAGTAGTCAGGCAGGAAGTATAGGTGGGACAACCAGACTAGGAGAATTCTGGGAAGAGGAAAGCAGAGTCAGGGAGATGCTATCCTGCCACCCAAGGAGCAAGATGCCAGCAGACTGGTAATTATGGCTATGTGCAAAATATAGACTAAGAGAAATGGGTTAATTTAAGATGTAAGAGCTAGTTAGCAATAAGCATGAGCCCTAGACCAAAACAGTTGGTAATTAATAATAAGTTTCTATGTGTTTATTTGAAACTGAGTGGCTACGGGACATAGGAAAACTTCTGGCTATACTACATGTCTTCCACCTGCTTACCAAGAAGCTTGGCTGATAGCTAAGTGTTGCCAGTCAGCGTGACCTCCTAGCATGAAAGAAACCATGTGATTCCTTACGTGTATCAGAATGGCTCTCTCTCTTATTGTTTACTCAAGAAATGCTTTGTGATCCTGAAAATGTAACTTATAATTGTCCAGAGTTTGGCTGTTGAGGTGTGTGTGTGTGTGTGTGTGTGTGTGTGTGTGTGTGTGTGTGTGTGTAAAGGGAGATGGAACTGAGTGTGTAGAGAGAGAATGTGTGGAGAGTGTGTGGAGATTTGTGTTATGTGGAGACAGATGGAAGAGAGAGCTAGGTAAATGAGATGTATAGCTATGTAACAGAAGTATATATGGCTGTGTGGAGAATGTAACTGTCTGGAATGTAACTATGTAGAGACAGATTTTCAGAAAGAGATTATAGATGTAGCTGAGTGGGTAGAGAGATACAGGAAGATGAAGCTGCATGGAAAAAAATGTAACTCTGTGTAGAGATACATGGCTTCATAGAAAAGAGATGTATGTATGTAAAGAGAGATCTATAGCTGTGTGTAAAGAATATAGCTGTGTAGAGATAGAGAGATTTTCAGAAAGAGATTTTTTTAAGATGAAGTAAAAGAGAAAGTTACCATCAGAAAGTGTGTTTCCTTACTTACCCCTCAGAAAAGTCTAGCCTTCGCCACATCCATTGATTTTGTTTTCATACCCTTGGCTGCTGGAGGCTGGCCCTCAGTTAGCAATACCCTAGGGGGAAACCTACTGCCGTTATTCTGCTGAAGGACCACAGTAATAAAAAGGTTCTAGATGACCCACTATGCTGTACTGCTGTCCCCGTACATCAGTGCCTCACTCAATCCTCATCAAGAAGCTTCCTCTTGCAGTGGATGGTAACCAGCACAGAGACTCATAAGTGGACAATGTGCAGAAATGGAGAGACTTTGGAGTACTCAGTCCTAAATGGAATGTCTTTAACTAACCCCTTCTCTCGAGGCTCAAGAACCTATGTGGAAGAGGAAGCAGAAAAATTCTAAGAGCCAGAGGTAGTGGAAGACACCAAGGAAATGTCGTCTTCCAGACACAAAAAGGCTGATTTACAGATGAACTCACAGAAATGGTAGCAGTATATACAAGTCCTGAACAAAGACAAAACAGATAAAATCCCAGCACAGAAAAGGGAAAGTGGACTTCAAGTCCCACCCCTTATTATGAAGCTATTTGCAACTGATAGTTGCTAGGAAAGGAGAAATCAGTTTTCTCCAATGGCGTGAGAATGGGTATGCATCAACCACACTTCAGAGAGACCCTATGCCCAGGAGTAGTTGGCCAGCACAAAACAAACTCCATGTTTTTTAACATGCTTTTTGTTTTGTTTTTGTCTTATTGGTTTTGTTTATTTGTTTGTTTTTAGTTTGTTTATTTTTATTCTTTGGGTTTTTTGTTTTGTTTTGTTTTTTGAGAGAGAGAGAGAGAGAGAGAGAAAGAAATAAAGAACATCAAGTTGGGTGGACAGAGAGGTTGGAAGGAGCTGAGGGAAGGAAAAGAATGTGATCAAAATATATTTTATAAAACAAAATTTAAATAATGATTTTTTAAAAAAAAGAAAAGAAACTCCTTTAATCCCAGCACCCCAGAGGCAGAAGCAGGCAGATCTCTGTGAATTTGAGGCCAGCCTGGTCTACAAGGTGAGTTCCAGGGCAGTCAGGGTTGTTTCACAGAGAAACCCTGTCTCGAAAAAACAAAACGAGAGAGAGAGAGAGAGAGAGAGAGAGAGAGAGAGAGAGAGAGAGAGTAAGTAAGAGAGGGAGGGAGTAAGGGAGGGAGGAGGGGAGGTTGGTGTGGTAGTATGTACCTATAATGTCAGCACTCAGGGGGCTGAGGTGATAGGATTATGTTTGGAGGGGTTCTCTGGGAACTTGCTAAGTTCAAGGACAGCCTAGAGAACATACAGCCTCTGGATTAGCAAGAAAAGTGAAAAGAAGAACATTTTTCCTTCTTGCTCATGCCCTATTTTCTTGAATAATAAATAATTCGAAAGGATAACGTGAATCACTGTGAGATCATGTTTGGCTCTTATTTGTAAACCCAATAGTGAATGTTATCTGAGAGTGCAGAAACTGCCTGGATGTTGCGTAGCCTTTCCTGGTGGCATTCTCTACTGTTAGGCCAGTTTCAACTATGAAGACATTAGAAAACTGAAAACTGAAGTCAAGAGAACACAGTAGGTGCCACACAAGGACTCAAATGGCGCATGTTTTTATCCTAGACACCACGTTTCCCTCTTCATCTTACATTTCAGGTCAGATCCAAAAGCTGTAGGCAGTATTTTATGGCAGTGTGTGTGTGTGTGTGTGTGTGTGTGTGTGTGTGTGTGTGTGTGTGTGTGTGTATTATATGTGTATGTTCTCTGATTAACCTCTTAATAAATACTGATCTACAGATTTGAAAATTGCAAAGAGGTTAAGATATATCAGAGCTGAATATTCCAATTCAGAAATATTCCAATTCTTTCTCTCTCTACTAAATTACACACATTACATTGTGAACATATTGTGGTTCACAATGTAGGAAGTTGAAGTAAGTGAAGTTCTGTAAATTCAAGGCCAGCCCAATCCATGTATTAAGTTCCAGGTCACCCAGGACTATATAGTGAGAGTGTCAAAATACATGATAGATAGATAGATAGATAGATAGATAGATAGATAGATAGATAGATAGATAAATGATACATAGATAGATAGATAGATAGATAGATAGATAGATAGATAGATAGATAGATAGATAGATAGATAGATGATAGAGAGATAGATAGATAGAGAGATGGATGGATGGATAGATGGATGGATAGATGGATTGATGGAGGACAGATAGGTGACAGAGCCACTTGAAGTTGATGCCCACCCTTGAAGTTCTCTTTATATCCCTTCCCCTATTTAAACTATCAATTTCAGGACTGGAAAGATGGCTCAGTAGGTAAGTGCTGGATGCACAAATTCAAGGATCTGAGTTCGAATCGAGAGCACCCACATGAAAGCTGTGCACCCTTGAAACCGCTGTACTGTGGGAAGCAGAGACAAGAAGATCGCTGGGGCTTCCTGGCTGCCAGCCAAGCTCCAGGTGCAGTGAGAGACCCTGTCTCAGGGTAATAGGAGAGTGAAAGAACAGATATTGATATTCTCTGGCCTCCCCCAATGTGTGCACCCACACACGTGTATTCTCCACCACCACCCACACACACCAAAACAATGAATCATTTTCTTATTTTTCTTTGATTATCTGCCTTGCCATTGAAAATTGATCTTTTGTGTGGTGTGATACCAAAAGCCCTCTGAAATAATGCAGGTCCACTCTGCCATAGGCACAGCTCAGATCCCTCCCGTGGTTCTGAGTTAACAGTTGGTGCCACCCTAAGGTGTTTGGACAACCTTCTACGAGGCCCGTTGGTGCTTGTTTTTGTTTTTGTGGTACTGAGGCTTGAACACAGGACCTCGCCAACACTAGGCAAGCTCTTCACCAAAGCACCAGCCATTCCTGCATTTTGCTTTCCAGTTTCGGTGCCTCTGCAGGTTCACTAAGAGTGTGAAGAGGGGCAAAGCTGCTGGAAGCAGAACCAAGGATGGAGGTAGAGTGAGGCAGACTCTTAGAGGGGACGACCAACCGCAAAATAGTAATTCTCTTGTTTTTATGTCTCTTCTGTTCCTACAGAATTAACTGAGATAGAAGACCTTTGTGGAGCAGGAGAGCAGCCACGGTGACTCTGCTCTAGTGTTTCAACTCAGTGCACGAGACTGGTTGAGGGTCATTACAGAACATTAGAATGTTTCTCAGCATGTGGCATGTTGTACAGTGTCCGAGCCATCGGTACTACCAGTAGGGAATTTTCTCTAGGCATGTCTTCTTTTCCTCTCTCATCCAGATTTGAATATGTGAAAAGGGGAGAAACTTCTATCAATATGTGAACTTCAGATTAGAAGCGTGAAGGCCCAGGAGAGCGGAGTACTCTGGGTGATGGAACACCAATCAGTCAAAAAGACCATGAGAGGAGCCAAGTACTGACCAGAAACAATGAGGTGAAATTATCGGGATTCTGAAAACACCCTGCATGGGGCACAGTAAGGCATCTGGAGAGGCTGAGAGACATAAGCACTTGCTAAGAGCCTTCCAGGGGCTGGGCCTCTTGCAGTGTGGCTCTGCTGGAAAAATCTTACAGTGCACTGCACCTATAGTTCCATAGTAGAGTAAGCTGATGACAACAGGGTCTAGGTGGGAGACCACTTACATTTTAATTCATGTTAGAAGTGGTTATCAATACAAAATACAGTTTCTACTGAATGTTTTGCTTTCTGCTGTGGTTTGCAATGTGTCCCAAAGGTCCGTGTGCTATAGCACTTAGGGAGGCAGAGGAGCTTTTAGGAGGTGGGACCTCACGGAAGGAAGGTGAGTCACTGGGGGTAGCCCCTTGAAGGGACCTGGCTCCTTTCTCTCTTGCTTCTCAACACAGCTTTGATCCACATCTACTCTCTGCCATGAGGTCCCACTTCACCACAGGCCAAAAGCAACAGTCACCCAACCAGGGCCTGAAACCTCTGGTTATAAGCTAATAAACCTGTTTGCTTTACTAAATTCACTTTCGTGAGTATTTTGTCACAGTTAACAGAAAACTGACTAATGACTTCCACATCACTGTAAAGTAAAAGTCTCACATCAAACCATGCTAAATTGAAAACTGTCTGTACAATACCTAAGGCAGGGTGTAGAGGTGGGGGGGGGCAGGGAATACTAGTTTTCCATTGTTTACTAGCATACAAAAGAACAAATATGTCCTTTTGCCCATGTTGAAATGTTCCTAGAGTGCTACTCAATTTGGCCACTCCATGTTGTTAATAATATGAAGACACTCTGTGTAGCAATGACAGCCGAGCATGAAAGTCACACGTGAGCTGATGCTGCCGGCCATGCTCGACACTCTTCCATATACGGAAGGCATCAGAACAGCCTAGCCTGGAGATGGCAAAATAATGGATGACTCTTACTTCAGGGGATGGCCTTGGCCATTTATAGCTGAAGGAATGTGCTAATGGCAACAGCTGTCCTCTTTTGGAGCAGAGTGCAGTGGTGGATCCAATTACCAGCTGCTTTAGTGAAAAGTAGTGATAATAAATAAGAGACAAGCCAGTGATTAATCATCACCGGTGACTCCCATCTTTTCATCGGGAGAGCAATGTCCAAGTCCCCCGTGCTTTTCTTAAAGAACCGAGGCTGTGTACATGAATGGCCTTTGTGAAGAGCTCTGAACGACTGGGCTCTGCACGAGGCTTCTCTTTGCTCTTCAAGGCCATTGATTATATAGTGACTTCCGGGCCTGTCCCTAACATTTCCTGGCTTGGGGGCAAGATTACAAATTGAGGACTGTGTCTCAAATGTCCAAATATTTGAATTATAAGTCAACAAACTGCCAAATAAATCAGATTCTGTCCTACTTTGATAAATTTACCACAAAGTGACCTGGGAGCCTGGTACGCTTTTAGAACTTCAGATTTCTTGGAATTTTGTACCAGAACATTCTAACTGTACTCCACTGCCTTTTTTTAAAAAAAAATAATCTACTGCCCTTTTTTTTCTATTCCCAGTACACACTGCAATATACAAAGAGTCCTGCCTTTTTGCATGAGGTTGCTTTGTCCAGAAGTCCCCAAGGCACCCCTCAGGCTAGAGAGTTCATTTATGCTTGTGAACAGCTTGGAGGAAGGTGTTGGTTCTGGCGCTCATGATGCAGAACTCTGAGTACTGAGCACCTGGACCTTGGAGCTCCCTAGGAAGGAGGTAAACAAAGTTCTTGTGATCAAACAGATCTCTACCTGGACAACTTAGAGCTTAACCCCGCAACAAAGTCAACTCGGAATCCCTAGCCCTAACTAAACCTGGAGTTACCCCACTCAAGTGCAAAGGAAGTTGGATACCCATGCAGTTAAATACTCTTCCCTGGGAGTCTTGATTCCTTGGCACTCTTGCCCTGGTTGCAAGGGTAGAGTGGGCTCTGATGGTCGTAGAGTCTCTAAGTAGCATCGCAGATACTGTCAGCCGGAAGTCTAGCTGACACATAAGCAGTGAGTGTCAGGGAATGTACACTAGACTGACTTCATTGACTTCTGTCCATCCCAAGCACTGCTCAAACCCACTGTGTTCTACATTAACTTTGCCACCTCCTGTTGCAGATTCTTCATGGTGATATTTAAAAAAAAATAATTTAAAAAATCATTGACTTATTAAACACACCTATAATCCATAATGCTGCAATTTACCCCATGCTGTTAGTGATGCTCTTTCCTCCTCCATCACACAGATCACTTCTGTGGTCAGCCATACTTCCCAATCAAGACTGCTTGCCTGGTAGAGTACCCTGAATTTTCAACACTGAGGAAACTGGGTGTCTGGTTTCCAATTCTTATGGCAATAGCTCATGTGTGGTCCGCAACAGTAACCAGGCTCTAAAGCTACCAAAGCTGGTTGTCTCCTCCATACACCAATGTCTTTTCTCACCTGATAGTCTACTGGTCCAAGAAGTTCAAAATGATGGAGCTTATTTGGTGCGTGCAGCTTGTGTCCCCTCCTACCTTGGAGATAGAACCCCAAGTCCAGTACAGTAGAAGTTGCTGGGATAAGAAACGTGAGAAAGACCATAGGGCAGGGGCAGAAGACAACCACTGCCCTCCCCCATTACGGGATCCAGGTATTCTACCTAGTGTCAGGACTGAACAGTGTCTGATGACTAAGTCTACAGCTTCTCCGCCCCGCCCCTATCTGACACCATCTCAGGGAACAAAAGCATGTAATCAACGGCTGACCTCCCACTCTGTTCCTAGGAACCTTCGCTGCTGAAAACAGCTCAGGCAACAGTGACAACAAAATCACTGAGGAGTAACGTGTGACTTTTTGGCAGGGCAAGACAGAAGGGCTGAGGAATGGCAGAGGCCAGAGCCCTCCCTAATTCAGACCAAGAGCTCTGCCCAGATGCACACACTCAGGTTTACTTCACTGAAACCAGAACCAGGGCTACTCTCTCCCAAAATCACATGCCAAGGCAGCCTCTATCTGCTCCCCTCAGGAAATGGGTCCTCAGGAAGCTCTGGGGAGCCAGCTACTTACTGCCTTCGCCCAGGTAGAACCAGGAGGCATGAAGTAGGTAAGTTTGAAAACTCGGGGAAGTTGTTTTTAAAATCCCAGTCAGCCAACAATGTGAAAATGTCTTTCATATCACCCAGAGGGCTTATTCCTGAGGCCTAAAATCAAAACAATAATCTAGGTTGCTAAAAACTGTTAGCCACTCTGCTGAAATCCTTCTCCTTTTCTTAGTATTCTAACTCCTACCAAGCTTAAATGGGTACATGGCCACCCAGCTAGAGCCTACATGTCCCAACTCCTTTGCAGGAATGTCACATGACTGAATTCTCATCACTGAGGTGTAAGAAAAATATGTTATTTGTAGCTGCTGGGTCATTTCTTTAAAGATGAAAGCACTTAGCTCTCAGTTCCGTTTTCATTCCTCGGGCTCAGAAATGGCAATAACTGGGTCTAGTTATGGACACATATGTTGATGAGGAAAGAAACAGCCTGCCAGCTTGATTCCTTGACAATTTCTTAGGAGCTCAGTGGTTCCCCATGGATCTTGGGTGAGGAGGTGGGAAAGTGGTTCCCAGGACAGCTGGCAGGGTCGTGCATCCCTGACAGGGTATCTTTGCACTGTTTTAGGAACTAGAAATAACTCCCCTGTTGTTCAGGCTGATATGTTGATATGGCCTCTTAGCTGCCATGATAACTACAGGCATGCATCCTACCCATGGGATCAGATCTAATGGGTGCATCATTCAGTGGTTTTATTATTGCAAAGGCATGACCAAGTGCATTGCATAAACGTGGATGGTGCAGAGCAGTTACTCCGAGTGGCCTCTCAATGCGATCAAGACGGAGCCTCAGCATGGTGTGAGGCCACTGCTGAGTAACACAGCATGTTGTTTCATGGTGAACTTTTTATAAGTAAGAAGAACATTTGAACATATTAATATAGAGTTGTAGGTGAAATTCTAAACGGTCTTAGTAAATAAGAAACACAGAGCCAAATACAGAGGAAATAGCCAAAGAGATCAGAGCAAGAGCTATCTAGCTTTAGCTTACCACCAGCAGTAGCTTCCCCAGATAGAGTTTCTTCCTGCCTAACCTGTGCTTTTATTGCCTTTCTGTTCTACCTTCTCATTGGCTCTAAGCCCAGACACATGACTTCTTCGTCACTGCCTGTCTGTACAGACCTCCAGGTCTCTATGGTTGGTACTGGGATTAAAGGTGTGTGTCACCACGCTTGGCTGTGTCCTTAATCACACAGACTCTGCCTGCCATGTGATTGGGATTAAGGGCGTGGGCCACCACCGCCTGACTCTGCTTATGGCTCAATTTGACCTCTGATCTCCAGGCAACTTTGTTTATTAACATACAAATAAAATCACATTTCAGCACAAATAAAATATCACCATAGAGTAGAGTAAATCTACAGGCCGATAATCTAGCCCCTCATCGTCATCTTCACATATCATGGCCTGTGTGGCATTGTGTGCACTACAGCTTTACACGCACAGCATGCTTGTTCTTGTCAGCGTCATAACAGCGTGCGAGCATATGTGGTACCACAAGGCCACTGGGCCACGTGACATTTTCAGTTTCATTATAATTTCATGTGGTCAACAAAGATGCAGTTCTTTGCTGTTCAAAACATCAGCATATGACTATACCGTGTTCAAACCATCAGAAGATAGCATACATGTTTTTGTAGTTCTTGAAATCCTTGACACACTAGAGGCAGACCCCAAAGCTACAGGACTTCCAGTAACCTTCTCAAGTAACATGCAGCAGGGCTCCTGTAGAAGGCCTCCGTGACCTTCCAAACCTATTGGCTTGAATAGAACATTCATGCTGGCTAGTTCTCTGACCCTTACGAATATATAAATAAAGAAATTGTATTTGCGTTAGTCAGGATTTGGGATGTTTCAAAAATCTCTCCAAATAAAGGTCATCAAATTGTCAAAGCTAAATTTCTTCTTAAATTTATCCAGACAGAAGTATTTAGCAAAATAGACTTGAATTTGATTCTCTATATTCCCAAAATATATAACCCTTCACATATATACAAACGCTTGCTTTGTTTGTTTGGTTGGTTTGATTTTCCGAGACAGGGTTTCTCTGTGTAGTTTTGGTGTCTGTCCTAGAACTGACTCTGTAGCCCAGGCTGGCTTCAAACTCACAGAGATCCGCCTGGCTCTGTCTCCCGAGTGCTGGGATTAAAGGTGTGTGCCACCACCTTCCAGCTCTGTATAGTGTTTTTAATACTGTATTCACCCTGCAAGGAAACTGGGATAAATACAGGTAAACCCTTGAATAGAAAGTACATTAGTAGACCTAGCCATGAAAGATTCTCTGTATAAACAAGTTGGCCTCTGTAATAAATCATTTATAGTTGCTGTCATAGAGTTGAACTAAATATTAAGTGGCTGCAGTGCCATTAATTGGAGCAGCCACGGTGCAAGTCTATTCTGATAATCATTTTGGCAGATTCAGTAGAAACATTTGT